GTCTGCCAAATCCTTGATGTCGGTTGTCTCATCTATCTGGATGAGTTTCGCAACCAGTACCGGTAGTACATCATCATTATCATTGCCATCTTCATCTGAGAGCGATGAAGCAGACTGCTGATGTTGATTTTGCTTTTGCTCTATCACCATCATTTTTGCCGCCGTCACTATTCGCTTTTGGCGTTCGCGCCGTTTTCGATTTAGCAACATTTTTCGTTGCTGACGTTCGTGTCTGACAGGCATGGCTGCTGTCGAGCACGTCGGACGTATACGTTCGGATGGCGGTGAATGACGAGATGGAGCGGCCGTTGAGCTCAGCTCTCTCTCTCGTTTTGAAAAAGATGATGATGCGCGGTGGTGACTGTCGGCTACCCTGAATTCTCGACGATTTCGACTACAGTTTCCAAAAACTCTGTCGTTTCGCCGGTATTCAGAGTCACGGCTGTATGAGCGATTCTCCCAAACTGGCTCAGCTTTGCCCCTATGGGATCCATCGGTTGTCTGTCCAGATTGGGCATCTGGAGCACAGATGTTCGGTGGAGTACCATCGGAGTAGAAAGCCTGCGAGTTTGGCACCCAAAGACCAAAACTCCCACTTCCGTCCTTATACAGACGAAAATGACGAAGAAATGATCTAATATAGGTCATTTTTCTGATGAATAAATGATGCAAAAATCAAAATAAAACAAAAGACCGAGTGTACTGACAAAAGAGAAAGAAAAATTACGTCAGTCAGTGGTTGTATTTTTCTCGAAATATAGACAGTCTAATGACTGATATATGAGAAAAAGTAGTACCTCGGCATGTACATTCATCAGCGTTACATCCATAACTCTCATTGATGTGGCCTCGGCTGATGGGGTATACAGTGAGAACGAACGTAATTGGATAATGGGGTATGCTGCTCTCCGTGGTAATTTAGTAAAACAACACGAAGTTTTTGCGGAGAAACACCGGGTTTGTTAGGTAAAAAGATGAAGTTGTCGTGCAGAAACATTGAGATTGTGTGGAAAAAGCGTAAATTTCTCGTCCACAAACACAGACTTTGTTACGGAAAAACTTCAGGTTGTTGTGGAGAAGTACCGAATTTCTTACCGAAAAACATGAAGCTCTCGTGGCGAAACACGGAGTTAGTCAGGAAAAACACGAAGTTGTTGTGCGTACAAACCAAGTTTCTTACTTAAAAAGATGACGTTGTCCTGGACAAACTCCGGTTTTTTTGGGGTAAAAGCCATCAAGTTGTTGTGGTGAACAGCGTGTTTATCAGGAAAAAACATGAAGTTGTTGTGGAGAAACATCGACTTTG